ACACACCAAGTTTCATAAAGATTGGCTGAGCCATTCTAAAGTTCATAAGGGTGGACACGCAGATAGCAAAATAAAATAAGCTGGTCCGTGTTATTTCAAAACAGGGAAAGTAGGCTAACAAGATGCTGTCCACCGCTTCGTTCCATCAAGTTGCCTTGCGCCGAGGGCAATGAATGGTCACTGGCTTCTCGGGACCGGTTTCGCACGAGCTGACTTTCACCCAGTGCACCTTGCTGCAACAGTCGCTTCTTACTGCAGATATCTCGTGGGAGGCGGCCCTTTCGCTGGCCCCAGCTTCAAGGTCTGTGACTCGTGTCACGTTGGATACAAGGAACGGCGAAACTTCAAGGCGTCGGGAGGAGAGGCAGCTAACAAGTGAAGTGAAGTCGCCCCCGTGTGTGCCCAGTCGCAGGCTTCCCACCGCGACGGCCCGGTTTCGAACCCAGGTCAGGCCATGTGGGATTTGCAGTGGACAAAATGGCATTGGGGTAGGTTCTCTCCGAGTGCTTCAGTTTCCTCTGCCAATTCTCATTCCACCGCCTGCTTCATCATCACCGTCATCATACGGGGATGGTACAATAGGCCAATTAGTGGCTGACGTACCAAGTGGACTCAGTATCACCCCCCCCCCAAAAAAAAACTAAAAATAAAAGTTACCTATGTGTGAGTACCACCGGAATTTCTTTTACAAGGGACGAGAACAATAAAATTTGCTTATAAACTTACGGTTATGTTGTGTTTACTGAACATCGCACAGTTCTAAGGGTAAAGATTCTCCTTCTTAACTTTCCCACGAACCTGGTATACAAGAGAAGATGCTGTGACGATTAAAATATAAATCTTTGGATTCTGACGCATTTGTAGGATGTCTGACCCCTAATTTCGAAAATATGATTTTCGGTGTGTCTCTGTCTATGTACACATGCGCGCCTCGCCAGCGCCTCACCGGCAAGACAGATTTCATTAGTATCTGGTATTTAAGCGTTTATCCATCATAGCTGTACTCTTCTCCAAACATAATGAAAATGATCAAGTCAAGGAGCATGAGATGGGCAGGGCATGTAGCACGAATGGGGGAGAGGCGGAATGCATATAGGATATTGGTGGGAAAGCCAGAAGGAAGGAGACCACTGGGAAGACCAAGGCGTAGGTGGGTGAACAATATTAAAATGGATCTTAGAGAGATAGGATGGTATGGTATGGATTGGATTGATCTAGCTCGGGATAGGGGCCGGTGGAGGGCTCTTGTGAACACGATAATGAACCTTCAGGTTCCATAAAATATTTGGAAGTTCTTGAGTAGCTGCAGAATTGGCGGCTACTCCAGAAGGGCTCAGCTCCATGAGTGAGCTCTATTCCCAGTGAATATGAATATTCTAGCTCAAAGAAAAAAAGAAAGGCACTTCAGTTGAATCCCAAAACACGAAATGGCGACATTCTCGAAAATTTTAGTAATTTATAGAGACGATCTCGGTAAATGAAACAGCAAAGGCGGTATCTTCAGGAAAATAAGTGTACACGCAGCAGGGGCCAAAGGCAAAGTGCCTATTTTGTCATCTGCTTTACCGGTCGGACGAACTTAAATTTTGTTCGGTATTCGGAAACCAACAATGGTCTACCGAGCAACAATCGATTTCGTTTCCAACGTCACGTACTGAAGGTCTGTCGTGTAGGAGGAAGTGTGTGTGTATGTGTGCATTGTCTCTGCACCGATATCCTAGAAGTACTTTTGGGTTCTATTAATAGTATTATATTCCTTCTTTTAATTTTATATTTTCAAAAAAATTTTTGATAGGGACAAGAACTGTCTTGCCCACCTGCAGACGCCTATGCCTTCGCCCTTAATTAAACACCATGGAATGAAGATGTATGGGTGAGTGGAGGTATAACTCCAGACATTCTTAACCTCGGCAACAGATGGAGCTCAAGAGGTTAGCTGTATGTACGGGTAAGATTCTCCGGTACCAATGTGGCGGTTAGTCGCTGGCTTCCCACGGCGGCGGCTCAGGTTCGAGCTCGGGTCAGGTCACGTGGGATTTATGGTGAACAAAGTGGCGCTGGGGCAGGTTTTCTCAGACTACTTCGGTTTGCCCTGCCAGTTCCCATTCCACCGACTGCTCCACATTCATCATCACCTATCATCCGGAGCTGGTACAATAGGCTAAACAGTGGCCGCAGTACCGAGTGGACTCAGCCTCACCCCATGAGAAAAATAAAAAATATGTATTAAAAAGAGGTTGGGTGAGCCCCAGAGAAAAATCTGTTGCCGCTGTAGCGAATCGAACCTCTTTTTTCCCGATCATGCAGCCTGCAGCCTAGTCACTATTCTGACTGAGCTATCTTCGCTTGCAAGTCATACGTATCTGACTTGTCATGAAATAAGTTACGGTACGCACCTGTTACGCATCTCAAGAGACTCACCATTCCATCAACTCCGAGGTTAACGCAACGCGTGTGAGTATGGCACGGGCTTGTCCTTAGGAATGCAGTAAACAAAGTCGCCTGGGTGTTAGAGTGTTCTATCTCTACTTTCGGACGTAAATAAGATAAATGCAGTTTTCCGATTCTCCGTATTCTGTCGCACCATCTCCCACGTACTTCCCTGCAAGAGTGACATTTCAGAATGTGTTTGCTCTAAAAAAAGGCGAAGTTCTTCCTTTTCTTAATTAATTAAGCACTATGCCACGAAGACGTATGGGGGAGTGAAGGTACAGTTACACGATTCATGACTTCGGCACTAGATGGGGGTGAGTGACTAACTCCACGCCCTGGCCGTTGTACACCCACAGATAGAGCCCCCAGTACCCATTAAACAGGAGGATGGGTGGGCCCAAGTGCCAGTCTGGATATTGTGAAGTAAAGAAAACTTTCTTGCCCCCTACCAGGAATCGAATTCCGGCCGTCCAGCCCTTTGGTGACGAAGCGTGCGTTTCCTGGTGAAGAGCCGTACCTTTAACTTGTACCCCGCTGCTGAACTTATTAAGCCGCTTTCTAGAAAGTTTGTTTAGAAACAACAGGCGCAACTGGCGACACGCAGCACGCAGTTTCCGAATGTTTGCTGTACTTGTTTACCCCTCGCCGTACAAAACACAATGAAGTGTCCGTAAATAGCCATTTAAAGCGGTCGGTGGGGGGAGGGGAAGTTCTGCAACAAGTTCTCGGAGGAACGCATAGCTCATGTACCATTTGCCTTTAACCGATCATACACGAACTAACGTTGTGGGGTCTGGGGTTCTCACAGCGGTGGTTATGAAGAGTTCTGTCCTCTCGGATTTAGCGCCGTGTAGGGTCTGGGGTTCTCACAGCGGTGGTTATGAAGAGTTCTGTCCTCTCGGATTTAGCGCCGTGTAGGGTCTGGGGTTCTCACAGCGGTGGTTGTGAAGAGTTCTGTCTTTTGGGATATAACGCCATGTAGTCCGTTTGAAAGTCGCTCGACGTTTCGGAGGAACATACTGCCTCCATCTTGAAGGTCGAAGAATAAACCAAGCAAAGAAACCAATTTGAAAGCAGTTGACCCTGAAGACACGTTCATCCGAAACGTTAGTTGACTTTTTTTTTAAAGGAATACACGGCGTTCTACTCCAGAAGAGAGAACTCTTCATAATTGAAGTCGAGTGTTGAGCTTCACTCCTCGGCCGCTTTAACCTTGGGGAAAGTGCCCCCGATACCCACTGGACAGAAGAATGGGCGTTGTTCAGAGCCGGTTTGGCCACTTTGTCTATGAGGGGAAAACTAGCCCTGTTGGAAATCGAACCTTGATTCCCTGGTCGTCCAGCTCACACTCATAGTCACATACCTAGCTTGAATGTTTAATTAGGCCCCTCAGGTAGAGGAGAAAGTAGACGCAATTTCTTCACAAGTGCCAAGAAAGTGCGAAACTGCACTGTGAGCACTGAACTGTTTGTTTCGTCCTACCTCTCCCCGTTACTGCCTTAGTCGTCCCGTCCTTTTCCTACATCCCTCCTTCCTCACTCCTTTACTCAGTTTCTACTCTCCGTTTCGTCATTCACTTCCTTCCACCTGCTTCTCTGCCATAATTCTCATTAATCTTACACCATCTTTTTCGTCTCTTCATACATCTATCGCTCCTTTTCACCTTTTCATTTACTCCTCTTCTGCGTCTCTTTCTACTAGGTGACCGAGCTAGGTGGCTCAACCAATAATACTTCTGAACTGTATTCTCGAAGTGTCTGGCTCTCGGCCAGGATACCGGTCATTCTGAATGAGGGGTTTCGTGATTTTATTCAGTCCCTCCAAGCGAATATCGGGATATAACGGTAAATTAGGCCACAATCACTTCCTTCCACACCCTCCTCAATATATTATTAACCACCCTACCGTTCTGCATCATACAGAGTGGCATGCTGGCAGTCTGGTCAGATAAAAACATAAATATTAAAAACTCCATCACGAATAGTAGTCGGTATAGCAACGGGCTGGACGGCCAGGGTTCGATTCCCGGCAGGGTCAAAATTTCTCTTTTCCACGTCGTCCAGACCGGCTATGGGGCCCACCCAGACTCCTATCCAATGGGTACCGGAGGTAAAGCGGCCGGGACATGAAGCTGCCCACTCACCTCCATCCACTGCCGAGGTCAAGAAAGGTGAAGCTATACCGCCACTCCCCCATGTGTCTTCATGGCGTGGTACTTACTTCCACAAGGACAACTTCACTTTTCCCTGCACCAGTACCGTCTGTCACCGTCTTCGCCATATTTGGGAGATTAACAATCTATTTCTGATGACGTCACTTAACCTCGCCTTGAAAGTTGCAGGACAACAGAGCAGACTCGGGGCTGATGCTCCACAGCGGTGAATATCAAGGGTAGGGTCCTCTGGGTTGTACCGCTGTGCAGTTCAGATACAGCCCGACCTCCATCTTCAAGGTTGAAGGATAAACCAAGCAAGCTCTGTCCCAGCTACACGGTGTTACATCCCAGAGCACCTTACTTTTCAGAAGAGACAATTGCTTCGTAAAGTCCCCATGCTGTTTCTGTGCAGTGCTGGACGCCAGCGGAAGGTACTCCTCGCAGTTCCTGTGGGGAAACTCTTACTGGCTTGGTTCTCACACGCTATGCCAACAGCTCCACTTCGACACCCAGCAGGAGGGCTCCGCTCCACCATTCCCGGGGACATACTCTGTGATCAACCTCAGGATCAACACCACCGGCCTTACAACTCCACAGGCAAGATATACGTATATATAGAGCGCGAAGCCCACTCAGGACCACAGGATGCGGAGTTACACAGAAAAGCATTTAACAACCAATGAGATACTTCCGCTGAAACAGCATAGGTAAAAAGGTAAAGTTATCCCTGTAACAGGCCGTAGAGTTCCATAGGCTTTTGAGACGTCGAGGCTCCCACATTGTGTAGACAATCGGCTCACTGATGACGGTGAGGTTGTCAGCCTTACGCGCCGTCCGCCCTTTACCCCCCCGGAAGATCCCTGGTACTCATTTCTGTTAGAGGCTGAGTCGACCCCAGGGCCACAGTGCGGCTACAAGGATTAGATGAATTGAAAATTCCAGTGACCTCATCGGGAATCGAACCCGCGACCTACCGGCTTGTAGCACAGTGCCACGCTGAAACAACATAAATACGTGTACGAATATTTGATTTCTATATTTTATGATGTTATTAGTAAAACGCTAAAATAAAGTTGTCCCTGTGCTTAACTATTTAAGCATTGTGTCATGAAGACATATGGGGGACTAGAGGTATAGCTCCACCTTTCTTGACCTCGGGTGGCAGGGTGGGCCCTAGATTCGGTCTGGACGCCGCGGAGATGAGAAAAATCTTGCAATGCCTGGAATCGAACCCGGGCGGTCCAACCCCGTAGCCCTTCGCTATACCGATTCCTGCTGACGTCATAAGTAGCTCAGAATATATAACGTGGTTTTACAGGATGAATAGCCGAGCAGGTTAGTGTAGCGGTAACGCTGTAGATTTGTATTCGGGAGGTACTCGGCTCGAATCTCGGCCAGGGTGCCCGACAAATCGACTGGATTTATCGTGGCACTTCTGAGATCCTCCAGTTAAATACCGACCTGTTACTTCGATTAGGCCAAATCAGCTTCCTTCCAATTTATTATTAATTCATTACTCACCGATCGTTCTACAGGGTGCCCCAGGAGGAAAGGGAGGTCATAATATCGGTCATTTTAGCATAAAAATATATACAGGATGTTTCACGACTTTAGGGCATAACTGCAGGAGGTGATTTCCTAGGTCTTTGAGATCAAAAAAGTTCATATAAACATGTGTCCGATTTTGGACGGTTACGGAGTTATGACCGTTTTAAACCCAGAATAGAAGGTAACGATTACTGACAATAAACGGAACAAAATAATAAACCAGCATAATATATGATACATTTAAATTATGAATGTAAAGTTAGCTTCGTGAAATTACCTTTAATTTGAATTTATTGGTGCTTAAAGCTGATTTTCGAAAATGCCACCGCCGGCCGCAACACAGGCTGCCGCTTGGTTGTGAACCGCGCCGGACATACCAACCCTCCCCGCCTTAGGTACATCTCAAGTGTCGAGATAACGAGAACGCTCTGTCTGTAGCTGGCTAAAAATAGCGACCTGCCAGCTGATAGACGCGGTTCACACGAGGGCGTATATGAGAAGGAAAAAGCGGTCATAACTCCGTAACCGTCCAAAATCGGACACATGTTTATATGAACTTATTTGAGCACAAAGACTTAGGAAATCACCTCCTGCAGTTATGCCCTAAAGTCATGAAACACTGTATGTACATGTGTCCTATTCCGAACGGTTTCCAAGATACAGCTATTTCTCTGTACAGTTCCAAGTTTGCTGATAAGAAAGAGATATTACGTACTGTTTCTGATGCCGGTATTTATTGTTCAAGTGACAAAGTTGGTACAGTTCACATACATCAAAGCACTTTGCAACTCGTGTGAGGACATGGTGTGTTGCCCGTCTGTACAGTGTACAGAGAAACAGCTCTCCCTCGGAAACCGCTCTGAGTAGGACACATGTACATATATCTTTTTGCTTAGAATGACCGGTACTATGACCTCCCAGAATATTTTCCTTTCCTTCTGTGTCATCTTCTGTTGTTTGAGATATGAAGGCTTAGTAAAATAAACTACAAAACAGACGCTGTCAGTAGCAGAGATGATTATTGAATACTGAATTGAATATGTTGAGAAGGGCAGTTGTAGCCGCGCGGTCTAAGGGGCAAAAGTCTTCGTCCACTCAGACACTGGAATCGTCGGCTCGAATGCCACTCGAGGAATGTATGACTGTTTGCGTCCTGTGCTTCTGTTGTCCTGTGTAGGTAACCGCCTTGCGCCGGGCTGATCTCCCGTCTAAGGACTACTACCGACTGTCTACAAGAGCCAAATTTCATAATTCCGAATGGGAACATGGCAAAGAGCCTATTCCGTCAATGAAGAAGAATGTAGCTGTTGTTCTAGTCGAGATTCGAACCGACACGCTCTAGAATACAGGCCCAAGAAGGCGTTGCCAATTAGCATGACACGTGAGAAAGGGGAACCTATAAACTGTTTGCTTACAGGGCCGGGACGTGGTGCTGGGCGTCTGCCTGCCGGCGTCCTGCAACGGGGCCGACGTCTTACAGCTGCTTCATCTGTCGACGCCAACCACCGTCACGGTGCTTGGAGCCCGCGCCATTCCCGATCCTAGCTTTGCGGTGTGGCGAGAACCGGGCTTCTGCATCCTCGCGTGAGCACGGTTTTGCACAGACTCACACGCCCTCACTGTTTTGCTGACAGCTGGGACTAGAATCGCACTTATTCAAAATACTCCTATTTATACGTACAAATAACGTTGCCCCTTTGCTTAATTAATTAAGAATTGCGCCATGAACACATATGGGGGAGTAGAGCTCCACCATTTTTGACCTCGGCACTAGATGGAGGTGTCCAACTTCACGCCCAGGCCGCTTTATCTCCAGGAACTCACTTCCGGTATCCATTGGATAGGAGGCTGGGTGGGCCACAGAACTTGTATTGACGACGTGGAGAGGAGAAGAATTCTGCCCCTACAGGGGTTCGAACTCCGACCCCTCGGCCGTCAAGCTCAGAGAGGCAGATCCGTTAATATATGTCATGATGCACAAGAATTAATTTTCACTGCAAAGAAGTAAAATTATCAGAATAAACTGTTAATATTAGGAGGTGCAGTTTGGTTTCAGTTCCGAGTCCCGAGGTTTCACTGTGTTCCATCTATAATGTGGACAAGGGTGCGTCGTGACATAGTCGCTCAGTGACATAGGCCGTTACGTCATCATTAGAAAGTTAATGGATTCTATTTTCGAAATATTTCCGGTATTCACACACCAGTGAGAAATCCAAAAAGTAAAGTAAGAAGGTAAAGCTATCCCTGTAACAGACAGTGGAGGCTCATAGGATTCTGAGACGTCGAGGCTCCCATATTTTCTAGAGAATCGGCTCACAGACGGCGGTGAGATTGTCAGCCCTACGTGCCGGCCGCCCTTTACTCTTAGGAAGATTCCTGGTACTCATTTCTGTTAGAGGCTGAGTCGATCCAAGGGTCATAGTGCGGCTGGAAGGATTAGGTCTATTGAAAAATCCATTGATCTCATTGGGAATCGAACCCGCGACCTTCCGGCTTGTAGCATAGTGCCTCAATCAACTACGCTACCGCGTGCCCCTAGAAAGTCAAACGTATTTAAAAAGGAATTTCTTCCCTTCAGGTCACCTGACGAGTGATGAATAGAGATGCACTTTTAGGAACAAGTATTAGAACTGGACGACTGCCTTGCACGGAGCTGTAAGACTGGAATTTGCTGCCGTACTTCTGTCGAGATTCGAACCACATACTTCCTGAACATTATTTAAGCGCCCCAGCTTAGTTGCTCAGGCTGGTAGAAACTCGAAAGTATTGTCGTAGCAGAACTAGAGAGATGAAGCAAACTGCTTCCTTTCTTACGTACTTACTCAGTGCCCCCCTCTCTGCCCCCTTTCCCTCCTGCCCCCCTCATATCAGAGCAGTCGCACATGGTAGATCAATTGACGAACAAGAAAATATCCCACCTGCCTAACCGAATAAGCCTGATAAGGCCACTTAACATTTTGGAACCTGAAGCTCATGTATATACTGCATCTAAAAATCCAGTCCCTAGCTCACAGAAAACACACCGTGGCTCCATTACAAAGATCAACTAATTGGTGCTGTCTGAGAGAATTTTCGTTCCTTATTATGAGACTATACGCAACACGTAAATACGTTCTGTGAGCAGAAGAAGGGAATTTTCCATTGAATCGAACCCGCGACCTTCCGGCTTGTAACACAAATACACACACACACACACACACACACACACTGTGTGCTTTAAAGGCAAAACGCGTGACAGAGAACCTTTCACAGCTCAGTGGTTACTATATCTACCACATACTTTAAAATGCTGAAACTCTGCATTCTGCCCACAGAGTGTATCTGTGTGTTCCATATGGTTCTCACAATAAACAGCGACTGTTTCCCTAGACAGCATTAACCGGCAGGGCTTTGTAGCGGTGACGTAATGTGTTTCCTGTGAGGTACGGACTGCATTCTTATATATATTGCATTCTGCTCACAGAATGTATCTGTGTGTTCCGTACGGTTCTCACAGTAAACAGCGACTGTTTCCCTAAACAGCAGTAACTGGCTGGGCTTTCTTTCTTATATGCTGCCCCACAGTGTGTATCTGTGTGTTCCGTATGGTTCTCACAATAAACAGCGACTGTTTCCCTAAACAGCAGTAACTGGCTGGGCTTTGTAGCGGTGACGTAATGTTTCCTATGAGGCACGACTGGATTTTTATATATTTATTATTTAGAGAAAAATCAGCCTTTAAATGCCCGTGTGGATGAGGGTTCGGATACCTTCACCGTAGCCCTGCGAGTTGTAGGAGGCGATGGAAAGCGAACCCAGTGCCTGGGGGTATAACCGGGCCACTCTGTTCCCAGAGAATATAAATACGGGGACCTGGACTCCAGGTTGGGGGAGTCTCTAATCTGATATAATATAATATTGTTCTGAGTCCAGTGGGACTAGGATCCAAGAATGACTGCGCTGGCGAGGACCAGCAGCAATTGTAAACGACAATTCTCGTCAGAGAAGACGCCTCACATCAACAAATCCGCGACTGTCTGACAGTCACAAAAATCTGGTCTTGGGCCCCAGATGGGGGCTTGACACCAAGACAGACTGACCGACTGACCGTCGATCGGAATATGATTTTCAGTGTTTAAAGGGTTAAAGGGCTATATCCGGCGTACTTAATGGTAGGTTACAACCTCTAAATAAAAAAATTACACTGCTCAAAGCACTCTGTCAGTGTACATTGCTGCCAACCTGACGATAACACGTGAGCAGACTGGAAATAGAAGGTGTGATCAGAATGGCGAATCATTAAATACTTAGGCTTTCTAGTGCCCTACAAAATTTTTTGAACATCTATCAACTTAATGGCCCTTTGTGGTGGTTTCTTCCTAAACATAATGAACCGGTGAAGGGCAACTAGCAGTAAACAGAACGACAATGACTCAGCACTATTTTCTTGCCGGTCCATCTTAGTCCTTGACTGCCTTCTTGACAGTCGAATGCACGCAAATGGACCGTCAGATCTGTGAATGAGTAAACACGTGGCTACAGCTAAGTGCAAGACAGATATAAGAGTCAGATTAATTCTTTGAATTATTATACAAGGAGGGGAGTCTTATATGCCCTTCATGTAAATCTCTGAATTTAATTTCTTTAACAGTAAAATAGATTCGATTCATCGTGGTTTTCCGCACCACTAGGCACTCCAAGATATGAGAGGATAATATAAGATGTTTATAAATTCGGTTACAGTTTTTTTCAACGATGGTTTTCTGACAATTCAGGCGTGTAGAGGACGTGAAAGCAATAACGTAATTTTTTCTTTTTTATTTATCATTCTTTTCTTTCATGTGTTCTACCTCTTCCTTAACTCAGTCCTTGTCTTAATCTCCCTTTTCTCCTTCCTTTCACTTCTATCCTTCTGTACTCGTTTATTTTTCTCATAGCCATTCCCCAGTCCTGCACGACACATAGCATAAGCGTCAGGGGATTAACGGGTCACAATATAGATGCATGATTTCGACCTTTAGGAATACACAGCGTAGAATGTGAAAGGTTTCCCACTGTTTCGAGAACACTGGAGTGACCATGTTCAGTTTCTTTGGAATCTCTTAGGGCCTATACACTATTGAGTCGGTCATGAGGCCGCGACTAGACAAAACAGCGAATTACTATCCAATACGAAGCCTAAACCATGAATATGGCAACGACATTGCTTGTCGAATCGTTAGAAAGCCTTTAGTATTCTACGTGGAAATTTCCTAAAGACCAAATCATACATCTGAGCACAAGGATATACAAGATGGCAGACGAACAGGTGGACAGAGGGACTGCGACACTGTCACTGTCATGTCGGTCCTCATTAAAACGTTACTTTCCTTATAACGTGTCCCCATGAGGAAAACTCGAACGGTATTGTACCGTGGCATGTAAACCCGCTGCTAGTCAACGACGGCGAAGATAGTTACTGTGCAACAGCAATCGCTAAGTAACGGCTCCGCAAACAAGCATGTTTCCACGGAAAACAGAGCAGCGATAATGGAAGAGATGTTTTCTATGTGGTCCGCGCTGAGACATTATAAGCTTGGTCAGTTAGCTGCTGCCGTTATAGCATAAGATAAGCAAGATAGGCATGATCTGCTTTGTAAAGCCCGGACTGACAGAGGACTTGTGTGTAGTGCAAAAGGAAGAATTTTATTTCAGTAACTTGTTATATGTGCGATACGTACACTTGACGGAAGGCCAAGCGTATTCATAAGAGAGAAACTGATGCTCTCGTCAGAGAGGATGTCACATGAGGTCTATGACCACAAGGGTTCAGTTGAAAACAAAAATACTGGTCGTGAACCTCAAGGGGCTTGGTGCTAAGACGAACTGATTGGCGGAAACCGCCAGAAGTAAAGTAACTCTGACTTTGACTTGTTGCAGCTAGTCAGTCAGTTAGTGGGGACTTTGTTGGTGAGCGAGTTAGTTCGTTAGAGGACCGCTGCGGTTCAGTAGTTGTGAGTTGTTGCTGTTAGAAGCTGGTAGCTGAGGCCGAGGACAGTTCGGGAACCCAGAGTAAGAGGAATCTCCGCAGTTGGAAGCCGCTACCGAGCAACGGTAGTGAAGATATGACTGTGGACACTATTGTGTGTATGTGTATAACAGTGACCTGTAAGGTGTAATCGCGCTCTATCTAAGAATCCAGTAAATCTGATGATCAATTCAAAACCCCGTCTGTAGTCACGCTCCATAAAACCGTGACAGTATTATTTGTTCTAAATTCTTCCTTTGAAGGATTATTACAAAAGACAAATTCTGGAGGATGGATCAGAACGCAAATGTCACATGGGACATCGCCATATTACTGAAGGTGCTGATGAAAAACCACTAAATTTATGCATCTTTGTGGCCGGCCAGAGTTTAAGGAATGATCTGATGTTCCTTCACAGGGTGGTGATCGGCTTGGTGACTCTTCTGGTGGTGATTGGAACGGGGTACGACTTAATGCTGCAACGTCGTGTGAAGCAGAGAGACACAAAATCAACAGGCAAGTTATCACAAGCTCTGGGCTAGGAGAAGGAACGTTATAAATCCCTTCCACTTTTGTGGGTAATAAAATTCTGGATATTTTAATTTACAGAGGGGCGAAATAAGAGTGAAAATTGAATATTATGCAATGGGGACCTACCTATTTCTGCTACTCACCTGTTCTAATCTGGGAGCTAAATAAAGGGCAACGAAATGGACGATGACATGTAGGATACAAGAAGAACATACAAAATTTTCAGTTGATAACACGTAAAAAGACAATTTTAGAGATCGAAGTGTAAATAAAGAAATACAAATATAGGCCTCGACTAACCAATTCTTAGATTTTTCAACAACGCTGTTACGAATGCAGTGGTTACACATTCTAGAACTAGAGGACAAGGTTACTACGCTCACTAAGATGTGTAGCTATGTAGTGAATATAAGAATTTCATAAAAGATTTTTATTTTCAAGTTCATTTACTTTCTGGAATTCCTGGATTTCGCGAGACACAATGTCGTCAGTGTTCTGAACATGCAGTATTTTTTGTGACAGGGGTTTCAGAGTGTAACGGCAACCACCTCAGTTACACTGCTACCGGGCCTCTGGAATCACAGGACGTGCCAAAATCTGAATTCCAAGACATCAAACCAAGTAAGTATGCTCAGCACAAAATGTCGTCGCATCAAATATATTGAAGTATTTTACTGGTCCCTTGCCATAGGCAACCAGCGCGTCACACTCACAGTTTCCGTACTCCAGAAGTGTATTAACGGGAGCGGCTGCTGTGACTGCTTCGGGCCAGGTGAACACACAAAACGACACATGCCGGGACATTAATACGAAGCTCCGCTTCGTGATGTAAGAAAGTTGATGTGTGTTACTGCTCGAGTGCCGTGAATATTATGGGTCGTGTGTAGTAAAGGTAAATCTATCCCTGTAACAGGCCGTGGAGGCCCATAGGCTTGTGAGACGTCGAGGCTCCCACATTTACTAGACGATTGGCTCACAGAGGGCGGTGAGGTTGTCAGCCTTACGTGCCAGCAGCCCTTTACCCCGCAGGAAGATTCCTAGTACTCATTTCTTTTAGAAGCTGAGTCAACCCCAGGACCACAGTGAGGCTGGAAGGATTAGATAAATCGCAAAAACCCAATGACCTTATCTGGAATCGAACGAGCGGTGTCATAACCGAAAAGACAACAACATGAAAAAGCTGTAGTTGACCGTTCATTTTACGCTGTTGTCGGTATGCGGACCGTCTAGCGTTCAATAGCAGAATTGGTGAGTGATGAATTCGAAAAGGCCACGAAGGAGGTGGTTGTGGCATTTGCCTAAAGGAACTGAAGAAGCCCATGAAAACTTGTATTCAAGACAGTCGGTGTCCCAACTGAGATTCGAACCGAACACACCCCGAATGAAAGTATACAGCGTTGCCGTTATACCAACCAACTCGCTAACATCGCTTTGTTCTAACCCAGTGGATCAAAACTCGTTGTGCTGTTCATACTGCTTTAGGTATTCTTTTAAGTTCGATTGTTCAGCAGTTGCTTTGTTGTAGACTCGATGGTGCAGTAGCCCCTTTGTCGCAGACCCAATGGATTAGTAGTAAAGTAGTTAGTTGTAACCTCGGTGGTTCAGTGATGAGTATGTTATAGACTTAGTGGTTCAGCAGTGATTTTGTTGTAGACTCGGCGGTTCAGTAGTAGCTCTGTTGTACACTCAATGGTCCAGTGATCAGTTTGTTGTAAAATCGACGGTTGTGTAGTATCCTTCTTGTAGACTAGATGATTCAGAAGTAACTTTGTAGACTCGATGGTCCAGTAATGACTTTGTTGTAGATTCAATAGTTCGGCAGTAACTTTGTTGTAGACTCTGAGGTTCAGTAGTAACTTTGTCGTTGGCTCAATAGTTCAGTGATGGGGTTGTTGTAGACGTGATGGTTCAGCCGTCGGTTTGCAGTGGTTCAGAAGTGTCATACTGCTGTGTCATGTTGCAGGTCTGGGAATGCAGACTTTGATCTGTTTCTCCGCGTGGACTAACCTGCAGAAGATCTGCGGCACGCGAACAGAAGATTCGCTTTCCTGCATCCACGGCCTGAGGGTGTTCAGTCTGCTATGGGTGATCGCTGGGCACACCTGCATGTTCTCCTTCCCTGTCTCCGGTGAGTTGCGACGTTGCTTCAACTGCCAATGCTTGTTTCGACAGTACTGCTGATAACCAGCAGGGGTCAGTAGGGTGAGAAATACCAACTACGATATTTCAGCCAAAATGTGATTGAATTCTGACCAAATATTAACGAAACTTAAATTACAACACAAGATCTAAATTTAAAATCGTGTATTTAATTCTGTGAAATTAAAAAAATCTGTACAAGAGAAATAATAGACTTCAATGAATAGAAGAAGAATCACACAGTATAATTAAAATTAAAAAGCTTGCGGTTAAATAAAATAAGGACCTTCAAAGCTACATGTAAAGAACGTAACCGAGATCCCCCAACGTGTACTGTGCAACCTGAAAACATCGGCATCATTTTCAGACGACCTTTCCCGTTGCCACTCATGCACTTGGCTCAGCTTGTCCCTGAATGAACCAAAGAATGGGCAAAGCCGACCCGTTATTTCCATCGTCTGTCTGACCTCTTCGACACAGTATGTCCAGGTTCTCTTAGGACTGTGTTCATTAAAAATACAAGACGTCAATTATTTTCAACATTTCATTCTTTTTATTCAAAATAGTCTCCTTCTGAATCAATACATAGCTGGAATCGATTGAAAAGTTTTCGAAAACAGTCACTGTACTCCTTTTGTGGAATCGCATTTAAAACTGCGGTACGTTCCCTTTTCTTCAGTGCGACTTGTTCTCGGCTTTGATGCACGTGGAGCGTCTTCAATGTCCTGCCTGCCGTCACGAATACAGCATACCTTCGAAGAATGTTCGAGCGACTCAAACAATCACCACCGTACACACTTTTCATCATTTCATACGCTTCTCCGGCTGTTTTGCCTAACTTCAAACAAAATTTGATGTTGGCTCTCTGTTCAACCTCCATTTTCCGACGAGCGTCAGAACAGTACTGTTACATTCAAGATCAGAACACATCATGCAGCGATGCTTGCGCTTTGAAATTATAGACAGCCACAACTGAAACTTCAAGAATCTTAACGCCACAACTCGCCAAAAGATGGCATTGCAGGACCAAAAAAAAAAAAAGTCCTAACGGATCCTGGACACACCGTGTATGTATTGATCACATAATTCTTACAGATCTATGTTCGCTGTCAGTTGTTGGTGTTAAAAATGCGCTGTTTAGAGACAGAAGGTGAAGTCATTTAGTGATGTAGACGGTTACGTCATCATCATAAAGTTACCAAGCCGTATTTTCAACATATTTCCGCTATTCATACCCCTGTGGGAAATATACAAACACGATTACACAGAACTCTTCATCAGCAAGGTTCATTACGCAAGATATGGCGTACACGGGTTCTTAAATAGATGAACTTTATACACTGATGTATTATCCAGCAGAATTATTCAATCTATCAGCCATGAACACGAAAAATCTCATGTCAGTGTAACTGAGTTCGACTTGTGGTTCAACAGAGGCAGGTATAGATCATGTTCTTTTCTCCATACATCGATACGTCGCTCTTGGCGCTATCTGACGACAGGATTTCTGTACTGACTGAGTCGATCTCTTCGGCTGTGGCGAAGGTACCCGATCTAGTCGGCATGTGGCGGCTCACCGATGTATTCTGTGTGGCCCGTGTACATTTTCCAGACACTGTATCACTCTACGCAATGGAAGTAAGAGTTAGCGGTTAAGATATGCCGCTGAAAGTAAATTTTAATTTTAAGTGAATAAGCAGTAGGTCGGGAGAATAAACGTTAGGTTATCAACGTGAAGCCCGGGGTTCAGTCCCATCTGAGAGTCATGATCAACGGAAGTGTCGATGGAGCTGGATTTTCTCCGACTTCAAGCAGTAGCTCTGCTAATCACCATTCTACTGTTGCTTCATACTCATTTATTACTGTCTACTGAGGCGCGCAGTAGCTCTGATCAGGCAGCACATTATCATAATGTCACGTATTCGAGGTTGTGTGACAAATAATAATGGGTTCTGGATTCGATGATAGGATTTACTGGCACTTCTTTTAGCAATTACAATCACTTATGAAACCTCACAAGCAATGACTGTCTTAAGACTCGCTCCATTCCTTACTGGACTACGAGTGCCTCCTCTTCCACTGTGACGAATGACGAATAAAGAATCTCTCTCGAATAAATTCTGCTGAGCGTTCTCCCGTCTCTTCCCTTTACAATTTCGGGGGAACGAAACAGAGACCAGCATCTCCAATAGTTCACGTTATTGCGTGCTTATTCGTTGTAACGGAAACGTGTGTTGCGACTTTCGGCCTAGCAACGGAGGCCCTTCCACTTGACTGTGTAACATTTGAACGTGCTTACCGAAGCGTTGCCTAGCAACGGTTTATTCCGTCACAATATTTTCGGTCTTTAATTTGGGGGCTTCGTCTCCAACCTGCAAATTTGGTTGATCACAGAGTAAAAGAAGAAAAGCTATGCCTGTAACAGGTCGTGGAGGCCCATAGGCTTGTGAGACGTCGAGGCTCCCACATTTACTAGACGATCGGCTCACAGAGGGCGGTGAGATTGTCAGTTTTACGCGCCGGCCGCCCTTTACCCCCAGAAAGAATTCTGGTATTCATTTCTGCTAGAGACTGAGTCGACCCCAGGGACATAATGCGGCTGGAAGGATTACGTCAATTGAAAAATCCAATGATGTCATCGAGAATCGAACATGCGACCTTCCGGCTTGTAGCATAGTGCCTCGACCACCTACGCTACCGCGTGCCCCCTGATGACGGAGTACGAAAGTTTTTAATGTTGCAGATAACAAGGCGTTCCGGCAGCTGGTTGAGAAGGATTTCTTATTTCAATCGATCAGCAATGGCGCTTTTTCTGTGGACACTTTCTTCTTTATCAGGTAAACACAGCAGCCACCAGTAACTGGTGAGTGCTGCATTAGGACTTGAGATACTGCCTGGCTGAGCGCTGAAGGCGGATGGTAGCTTCCTCCACGTTGCCCGCCAGCTGTGTGGGAGTTCTCTACTGCCTTTCCCACATTCTTCGCCACCATCCCCTTTCAGGACTCAGTCAGGCATTGCTACATAAACTCTACACAAAAGTTCTGAGAGAGAAGACCACTAACAGGATATAGGGATAACACAGATGATAATATTGAAAAGGATATTAGAGGTAAGGTATTCGAGTGTTTGAATTGGATTAATCTGGATCTTCATGTTCTGTAATACGCCAGGGATTTCTTGAGCAGCTGTGCAAATATCAGTTCTCGGGAAGGGCTCATCTCCGTGAAGTTGGTTAGTACAAATCCTAAAGGAAATCGGAACACAGAGTAGTTATTGTTTTCTTCAGTAAAAAAAAAAAAAAAAAGAAAAAAAGAAAAAAAGAACTAATGTCGACCCCTTCTTCATGTCAAGAAGCAGATTCTGTGCGTCTCTGTGAGGTAAGATTTGAGAACCGACCGTCTGTGTTGGCAGCGGCGTCATGGCGTCCTACCTGTTCTTTAAGAAGTCGGCCAAGATGCAGAATAAGGGCGAGGAATGCGCCGGTGCTATGATGAGGACCAACTCCCTGCGCTTCATCGGCGTCTTTTCGTATCGTTATCTCAGGTAATACGACATACACACATTTGTTTGCTATGCTGAATATAGAGAAGACATCGCTTATGTCCTGAAGATGGAGACAGCAGTTTCTTCCGAAACGGCAGTAACTTTCTATCACACTACATCCAGTTACATCGCAGAAAACAAAGCTTTTAACGTTGTGAGAACCTCAGATCTCACGTCACTACTGATGTTTCCAATTCACATGTTCGCATGGTCGCCATATTTACGGATATATTTCATAATAGGGAACTGAAAATTACCAAGGTGAGGCGGATGTAATTCAGGAACACATGTACACACACACTCGGCTCATTAATATGACTGCGAAAAGTGAATTCTGAATGATCTATTACTAATTAATTTTTTAACGACCAATTTTCAACGATATTAGTTATATAGCCTGTCAGTTAAGGTGATATCTAATTTACTGAAATAATAAACGTTAGAAAAAGTAAAGCTGTCCCTGTAACAGGCTGTGGAGACCCATAGGGTTGTGAGACGTCGAGGCTTCCAAATTTTCTGGAGTCGGCTCATAGATGGCGGTAAGTATGTCAGCCTTAAGCGCTGGCAGCCCTTTACCCTCAGGAAGATTCCTAGTACTCATTTCTGTTAGAGGCTGAGTCGACCCCAGGGCCATAGTGCGGCTGCAAGGATTATGTCAATTGAAAAATCCAGTGACCTCATCTGGACTCGAAACCGCGACCTTCCAGCTTGTAGCATAGTGCCTCAACCAACTACTTTGCCGGGTGCCCCTATTGAAATAATAGTAACATTATTTTTTTTGCGGGACACCACTGATTATGACTGAACGCGAAAGTTTTATCCTAGTTTTATTTCGATCTCAAGACAGAAATTAGAGCAGAGAACGATCTGAAAGAAAAATTTGACCTATCGACATCTCAATATACTATTTCTGCAATAATAATAAACATCGGGAATTTATGTACACCCTGTATAAGGTGTAATGAAATTGGGATATGATGATGACGAACTTACCTACAGATACTGAGGAAAATCATGATAAATCTCAGTCATTATAGGCTTGTGGCTGGTAACCGTGTTACCGTCAATATGCAGAGAAACAAACGCCTAGGAATAAACTTAACAAGGGGAAAATGATGACAGGATCCTGAGAGAAACCTCTGACTCGCGTTGATATGACTGCCTTCAGAATTAAATAAGTCCCAACTTACAGGCTGACCCCGCCCTATCTCTTCGTACTGGCTGTAACGCAGCTCAACGCAAGGTGGTTTTATCACAACTCCGTGTTCCACAACCCAATTATGGTCCGCGACCAGGCTACCTGCCCAGACTACTGGTGGAGGAACGTTCTGTACATCAATACTCTCTTCCCAGTCAAGGATATGGTGAGTCATAGGACATTCAGAAAGAAAAGCACCGTTATAACGATCAACATTGCTACGTAATTTCAAGTATAACGATAAATTGTATTACTGCTTAATTCGCATGCTAATAATTTAGAACAATTTCTATGTAACATAATATTAAGTAATCAGGTATGCTGACTCATTCTGTTAACTGCGTTTCATTTCAGTGCATGATCTGGAGCTGGTATCTGGCTAATGATACTCAATTCTACACACTCGGTGTCATCCTGCTGCTCCTGTCTGCTAAGTAAGTCCACCAGTTCAACCCCAGCAAACATTTACACAAATTAGTACGCTAAATCATTAATACCAACAATACGTTCAGCTGTATCCACGTATGATGGTATAAAATATTGGAATGTTATTGTGTTGAGGGCACGCGGCATTATGCTACAAGTCGGACGGTCGCGGATTTGATTAACGATGAGGTCATTGGATTTTTCAATTGACCTAATCCTTCCATCCGCAATATGACCCTGGGGTCGATTCAGCCTCTAACAGAAAAGAGTACTAGGAATTAATCAAATAATTTTCCTGAGGAATAAAGCGCGGCCGGCGCGTAAGACTGACAACCTTACCGCCATCTATGAGCCGATTGTCTAGAAAATGTGGGACCCTCAACGTCTCACAACCCTATGGGCCTTCAATGCCTGTTACAGGGATGGCTTTACTTTACTATAAACTCCGCAAGAGTTTCACATGTTAGAGAACTATTACGACCTAATACGAGTTCTTGACTGTGTAGTTCAGAGTGCCAACAGATGTCATACGTGTATGTAGGCAAAAAAAAGCAACATTTGCAAAGGTCGAAATTTTCTAAACTCGCCACTTGTATGGTTAAATACATTAACAACAACATAGTTTAGATTTAGAATTACGTTAAATTAATTTCTTTCTCACATCTTAAAGGAAAAAAATAAGCTCATTCTTAATATCACAGGTACTTCAAGCTGGCAGTGACATCATTGTTCACATTCCTGATCAGTTCCTGGTTCACAACGGCCGTGATCGTCCTCAACAGCCATCACAGGCCCAGGTGAGCATTCCGCTAAGCATAGGCTGTCTCTACAACGCAGTCCACGCAATCCTTGCTTAACTCCTTTACTTCCCTTCTATGCGTCTAGCTTACCGTCCATATTGTCACGTGCTTGAGTGACTATAAAGGCGGGTTTCGATTACCGAATCGATTTATTGGATATTCACAAGTCGTGACTACAGTTAGTTCTTACACTCTCAAGATTACTGTAATTATAACACATAAATAATGTCTTCTATATCTGCTTGCACTAGTCATTGCTAGGTAACGGATCTCAACAGTGGCTAAGTCTAGACAATATCTTCATTGAATTACACGCTCCAAATATTACACATGAAGTCTTCTTTTCACAGCCGCCCTTACAGAACTGAAGTCTCAGCTCTACTCTCCTGGAGTGCTTTCTCGGTTATTCTGGAATCTCTTTTAATTCTTAGGCACGGACGCCACAGAAAACACATGTCATGTCAAAGTCAACGTCACATGCGACTGACGGTCAATCAGTCAGTAAGTCTTGGTGTCGAGCTCCATCTGGGACTAATAACCACATATTTCATTTGTCCGTTATCAACACTGGGCGTGGGGCGGACGACACAGAAAACACAGCCTCATATATTGTTGCGTGTTGGGTCATGTTTACTGAGCCGTTGGCTGGCAATGCGTTGATCAAATCCGTTACAATATATTGGTTCATAAAACTTTCATTGGAGCGTTTAGAAGTTAAAAATCTCCTGTCATAAATCAAACAGATTTGTGCTACATCTGTTGGCCAATAAGTGAACGACCTGGACTTGTTTCCGGTGATATTTCAAGTTGCTAGTGCCATCCCAACGAGAAGACGACCCAGAGTCGTCATAGTATGTGAATGAATTAAAATATAGTACAACCGTTTTTTTCCTTGTTTCAGCTCAGTCACCATTAACTGAACAACTTAAACTTAACGTTATTTTTTATATAATTTAACGTGGTTCCTCTAAGCCCTTTAATACGGAGGCCACAACACCTTCCTTCACCGCCCCTTCCTATTCAGTGAGGTAAAATCCTGAAAAGTTACCCACGGAAGTGTGACGTGTTTCAGCATTGAGGAGCCACTGGGTCTGTTTGACGAGATATACGACAAGCCTTGGACCCGACTTGGGCCCTATGTTGTGGGAATGTGTGCGGGATGGGTCCTGTGCAAGACAAACTGCACTATCAAGATGCATAAGGTGAGAGATAGTACCCATCTAGGGGTGTTCAGGCCACTTGCGAGCCGCCCACCCGGGCTAAGCATGGCACCACGTGGAGATGAGTGGCCAGTCTCTCGTTCGAGACCGCATAATCTGAAATGGCGAATCTTAAAATAAACCTTACACAAATAAATAAATTGTAAAGAGACAACACACACACAATGAGAATTACGAGCACAGTCGATATCGAAATGGCAGGTATTCTACGGCTGTTCAGTTCGAATCTCGGCCAGGTCATTTGTTATCCTGACAAGAATTTTCGTGGGTTTTCTCAATCCCTACAGACAAAAGCGTGGATAATACCTCGTTTAGACTATGGCTGCTTCCTTTCAAATCCTCTCCACTTCATCGTCCATTTATCATCCCGCCATTCGATACTGTACAGTGCAGCTGACAGTATAGCCGCGGTAGCTCAGTCGGTATAGTGACTGGCTACGGTCTGGACGGCCGAGGGGTCGGAGTTCGAAACCCGGTAGGGTCAAGAATTTTCGCTTCTCCACGTAGTCTAGGCCGGCTCTGGGGCCCACCCAGCCTCATATTGAATGGGTATAGGGCGTTCTTTCCCCGGGGTAAAGCGACCGGGGCCTGAAACTGACCACTCACCTCCAACTAGTGTCGTGGTCAAGAAAACGTGGATCTATACATACACTCCCCCATACGCCTTCATGTCGTAGTGCTTAATTACGTAGGTGAGCCACTAAATAAGTTACAAATTGATGTGGGGTGCTACATGTTAGAATGAGGCACTTGAGGCTATCGCCACTAGATGGCAGCATCAGTCCGGTGGAAATTGATGACATTCGATACGAGACAATCGATGTTTACAAAAGCGAAACAGCAGCTGCAAGATCACGGCGCCTCTGAGCGAGTGTAAAACCATCAAGCAGTGCTCCGCTGTGCGATTTTTGTGGGCAAAAGGTACGGAATCAAAGAATATTCATAAAGAAATGCTTCCCATCTACGGTGAGAAGTGCCTGTCACGTCAAGCTGTTTACAACTGGGTACAGAAGTTCTCTGAAGGGCGGACACGTATCGAAGGCGAACACCGCGTCGGCCGGCCAACGGAGATTGCCACAGAGGCGAATGTGCAACGGGTTGAAGACTTAATCCGACCAGATAGAAGGGTAACTATAGACACTATAGCCACTGCTATTGGTTGTTCTCACGGCATGGCCTACCTCATAATGCATGACAGGTTAGGTTTTCACAAAGTCTGTGCACGATGGGTGCCGCGCATGCTGACCCCACAACACAAAATGCAAAGCGTGGGTCTGGCATCTCAATCGCTACCATGATGAAGGATACGATATGCTAGCCCGAATTGTCACAGGTGATGAGTCTTGGGTTCACATTTACCAGCCCGAGACAAAGCGTGCGTCAGTGCAGTGGAAACATCATGCGTCGCTTGCCAAAAAAAAAAAAAAAGTTTAAGGTGAAACCATCCTCCAGGAAAGTGATGCTCACAGTCTTCTGGGATCACGAAGGCATACTGCTCACCGTATTCCAGCCTCAAGGACAAATCGTAAATACCGACTCCTACTGTAACATCTTCTGGAAATTTCGTAAGGCCATTCAACGGAAGCGACCAGGACTCCTCACCAAAGGCGTGTTGCTCCTGCATGACAACGCGCGTCCCCATACTGCCAACAAGAGAAATGAGACGCTGCGAAATTTCAAGTGGGAAGTCCTCGAGCATCCTCCGCACAGCCCCGACCTTGCTCAAAGCGACTTCTATTTGTTCGGCCCTCTTAAACATCATCTTTCGGCTTAATATTTTCCCGACGATGAAGCTGTAGAAAGGGAAGTCACCGCCTGGTTCCGACAGCAGCCCAAAGAATTGTATGCTGCTGGTTTTCAGGGGCTTGTGAAACGACGCGACAAGTGCCTCGATGTACAGGGAGATTATGTTGAAGAATAGAAGCATTTTTCAAATCAGTACTCTTATTTGTTTAAGTTCTATATCCATTGATAACTTACTTATTGACTTACTCTCGTACTTAAGCACAGGGATAACTTTACCTTTAACTAACAGAATTGAGGAATAACTCCCAATAAAGGAGTCCCTAAAATTGTAAAAGAAATACTGGAAGATATGGAAGCAGATGGAGACTCCCTCTCATGCTGTGTTTCAGGCCGTGGCGATAACGGGCTGGACCCTCTCTATCGGCATGACGTTTATCCTGGTACACGGTTTGTATGGCGACCTGGACCCCATCATGTCCGCCGCTTATGTCGCCCTCAGCCACACGGCATGGGCCGTAGCTGTGGCCTGGATAGTCACTGCCTGCTCCACAGGCAATGGAGGTCAGTACCTCACCCGTCACTGCTGCTGAGTATACACGGTACATCTTTTCGCTGTGGTAATTTACTTTGTAACACAACACCAACAGGTCTCAGGTCTTAACTAACACCATGGAGCTAAGCCCTTCCTGAGAAGCCACCCGTCGCTCAGCTACATAAGAAATCCCGAATATTTTTCGGAACCCGAAGGTTCATTACCGTGTTTACAAGAGCTCTCCACTGTACCACATCCTCAGCCGGATCAATCCAGTCCATACCACCGCGTTCTCTGTATCCTAGGTCAATTTTATTATTACGATCCTAGCTACGTCTAGTTCTTGCCAGTGGTCCGTTTCCTCCTGGCTTTCCCACAAAAAATCCTATGTGAATTCCTCTTCTCCTCATGCGTGCTACATGCCCTACCCATCTCATCCTCATTGACTTGATCATACTTAGTGAAGAGCATAGTTAGTTATTTAGAGAAGGTGGGTTTCCCCATGCACCGCGACCAGTTTGATCTATTGTGCTTCCCTCTATGATATTCTACCAGTCTCTTTACCCTACCGATAAATGGTGCGTACCATCAGTCCCGCCGAGCAAGCGAGTTCGGCCACTTGCTTAGCGGTGTCTATAATGCTTTCCCCATCTATCAGAGGCCTTAGAGACTATTGTTGGGCGGGAAACGTCCTGGAATTTGGCTCAGTGAGCCCCCTTGGGGATATGAGGTTCTTTTACGTGCCGTAAAGTTACGACACGGGACACACAGCTTAAAGTCACTCCCGGAGGACTTGTTCCCTGAAATTTTCCGCCCTTAAAAATTCGACGACCTCCGCCGGGTATTTGAACCCGCGTACCACGAGTCATGAGGTGGGAACGTTACCTCTAGACTACGGAGGCCGCTTAGTGAAGAACATAAGTTATGTAGTTCCTACCTACTGACTGAGCTACGCCGGCTACGATTTTTTATCTAGATCTAGCGTGTATCCGTCGAGAACCCTGTTGCAATTTGGGATATTTATGTATTCCGTTAGGTGTTCATTGACGTTTCGGAGGAACGTACTGCCTCCATCTTCAAAACTCGAGTGTAAGCCAAGCAAGCAAATTGCTTGCTTGGGTTAATTTTCGACTTTGAAGATCGAGATATTCAGTTCCTTCAAAATGCGGGCCAACTTCTGCCGAACTACACGGCGTCACATTCCAGAATACACTCTCTTAATTCTCGAGAAAATTGTTTTTGTTATTGAAATCTAGAGACATGTCAAAAAACACGTTTTCGTCCTTACATTTCAGCCCCATGTCGTTTCCAGAACCCAGTGTCATAATGTCCCGCCTACGAGTGTGACTATAGACGGAGTTTGGATTGGTTAATCGGATTTATTGCACACTTAACTAGATCCTAGAGGGTTCTGACGGTGGTGTATAACACTCAGAGTTACTGGATTTTCGGTGTCTCCATCGCCCCGTAAANAAAAAAAAAAAAAAAAGAAAACACGACGTTCCGGAAACTGGACCTGTTTTTGTCCTCAGGTGAGGGGGGGAGGGAGACACCTACGCTTTTGGGTCCCTTAGAAACCTCAATCACTTGACCAGTCCTAGCTCACCTGAGGACGGAAACAGATCCAGTTTCCGAAACGTTGTATTTTCTAGTTTTTTTTTAGAATACCGGACGTTTGAAAAAGTCTGAAAACCCAGTAATTCTGACTTGAACAAGTCGTAAATACAAATAACTACGACAATCTCATTGAATTACACACTCCAAAGATCACTGTAACTATAGCACATATATATTTTTCTCAGTCTTCACTAGCCGTTGCTTGGGAGCGGCTTCCAACGGCGGACGTTCCCCCTCCTCTGTGTTTCCGAACTTTCCGCGTGTTTCAGTTACCAGCTTCTAAATTGTCACAACTGCAACTCTCAACTGAGAACTACCAGTCCTCGTTATACAGCTCCGGCACGAACCTCACAGAAAAGGCTCTTCCATTATTGCGTGTTCTCTCGTTGCCGGGGAAACAATGTGCCCACGGAGCCATTACCTAGCAACGGCTGTTGTACTGTTCGCCTGTTTACCCAGCTGTTACTTGGCAATTAGTTTGAGTGTCACAATATGTTAACTTCCAAGCAATGCATGTATATGTGATCCGTGGAGTCTAGGCACTGACTGTGTTCCCAGGCTACGTGAACAAGCTGCTCTCCTGCAAGTTCTTCTTCCCGCTGAGCAGGATCTCCTACTGTGCGTACTTGGTGCATCCCCTGGTCATGATCTCCGTCATCATGCATATGGAGAGCCCTGTGCATCTAGGAAGAGCCACCATGGTAAGCATCTGTGACTCAGTCGTAGTTGGGGCTGCGAATTTTGTGTTATAATAAAAGCCTTTCCCATGCATTAATTCCCAGCCCTACACATTATCGAATGATGTGTCGAGGCCAAATTTTAATGCCAACTCCCGTGAATAACACCTACAAAGCCGTTCCCTTTATATAGTACACTGTCCGTATGTTCATGCGACATGTTTAAAACCTGAATAATGCACTGCTTTGGTAAATAGAAATTGCGTAATGATAATAAATTAAACGCTTACAAAACTTTTTATCTATATCTGTATATCTATACAAAATAGAAAACGTCAGTGTGCTTAATTAGGCATTACACCATGAAGACGAAGGCGAGAACGAGGGTACAGCTCCACCATTCTTGACCTCGATACTATGGAGGGGAGTGGCCACCTTCACGCCCCTGACGTTTTACCCCCGGTACCTACTGAACTTTATGGATAAGAGAAAAAACTGCAGGGAATCGAACCTCGGCCGTCAAGCCCGTAGCCCGTCGTCATACCGACCGAGCCATCCCGCCTCCGCCCTATATTTCAGTAATTTTGCATTTCACATTTGTGACCTTCCTTCAGTAGTAAAAATAAGCATCGAACCTTTTCTGAACACAGATTGACTTGAAGTCTGTTGCAAGTCCGACCCTTCATTTTTGTTCGTTCGCAACGAAAGGTTAAAAAAAATTAACGCATTATTTCCATTATAAATGTCTGTCTGTTCGTCCGTCTGCATGTGACTCGAGATCCTACGAAACGGGTCTTCATGAAATGTTAGACTGGTGAGAGGTTAACTGAAATCTGTCAACACATTCTCAATTCCGCTCAAACGTCATAACAATAACGACCAATTTACATGAATGTGCGAGGGAGAGTCAGTAAATGAGTCATAAATGGATATAGAACGTAAAACGTGATATTTGAATCTTTGGGGGGGGGGGATCCCTCGACATATCCTTCATCAACACTGACATAATCGTACTTGTCCAATAGCTTTACCCGTGCGCTGAAACCCGCAGCATAGAAATCTTTTGACTGTTGTCTCAGCTGTTTCCGCACCTCCGTTTCAACCTCTTCGTCATCAGCGAAACATTTGCCACCCAGCGCTGAACCGCTTTACCCAACAAACACTTCCTACCGTAAACAGGAAACATTTCTTCATGAATATCCTTTGCATTCAGTTCTTTCGCCCACAAAAAAAAAAAACGCATAACAGAACGCTGCTCTTCGGTAGCATACTTCTCAAGAATGGTCACCATTTACACTACTGAAACCAGCCTCTGAATATGCGCATGCGCGTCTGCTACCTAGGCTGTCATGAAGGTGGATCCTGCTGCAACCCAGTGATACACATAGAAACCTATTACGTCTATTACATTTGTGACATATATACTGACGCTCCTTCGCAGGATCTGAGGTTCTCACAGCGGTGGTTATGAGGAGTTCTATCTTATGGGATATAGCGCCGTGTAGGACCTGAGGATCTCACAGCGGTGGTTATGAAGAGTTCTATCTTATGGGATATAGCGCCAAGTCATATCATCTCAATCATCCTGCTTGCTACTTGCTTGGATTATTCTTCGACCATGAAGTTGGAGGTAACATTTTCTTCGGAAAAGTCTGTTGACTTTCAACGTGCTACACGGCGTTATAGCTCAGAAGATAGAACTCTTCACTTTACATGAAGACCTACATGCATTTCTGCTCGCCATCTGGAGCGTAATTCCATTATGTGTTTATCGGAGCGAAGAATATTTCGGACAGAAGTCGCACATAGCAACAAAGTACAAATTTTATGCCAAGTACACTTAAGTGTTAACGGTTTTTGAGATAAAAACTCCGTGGTCTTTAGTCCGCAAGCGAACTATACCGACCGAGCGACCGCAGCTTGTCGGCGAAGTTAGTGCCAACTTTTGCGGATAGAGGGTGTCGCGTGGTCAGCGCAACGGATTCCCACGGCCGTTAATCTATGTTTGAGATAGTTGAACAGAAATGGCGAACGCGCCGGAACTCTTACCCTAGCCAGCTAATGCCACTCGAATGAACTCCGCACTTTTACAGTCTGTGTCACTTGTTCCAGATCGTCGTCATATTCGGCTACTTCATCATGTCCTACATGCTCTCTCTAGTGGTCTCTCTGGGATTCGAAGCGCCGACCATCGCTCTTCTCAACATCCTGCATCCCATCAAACGGAAAATGAAATGAAATCTACAATCCAAAAGAAACATCAAGACCCGCCCATCAAATAACATATCGCTGGTGCACCTCCATGTGAACATACTGTACAGAGTGATAATTTGTATCGTGGGACATTTCGTTCTTACATGGCACCTCGAAATCAACATACTATACAGGGTGATAACTCAGCGATACAAAATGTCACGTTTGTATCGTGGGGCATTTTATTCTTACATGGCACCTCGAAATCAACATACTATACAGGGTGATAACTCAGCGATACAAAATGTCACGTTTGTATCGTGGGGCATTTTATTCTTACATGGCACCTCGAAATCAACATACTATACAGGATGATAATTCAGCGATACAAAATGTCACATTTGTATCGTGGGGCATTTCGTTCTTACATGGAACCTCGAAATCAACATACTATACAGAGTGAAAATTCAGCGATACAAAATGTTACATTTGTATCGTGGGGCATTTCGTTTTTACATGGCACCTCGAAATCAACATACTATACAGGGCGATGAAACAGCGACACAGAATGTTATATTAGTATGTAAGGCATTTCATTTTTAAACGTAGAAGATTAATTTCATGTCACCGAGGGCTCGGAACAATCATGACGTGTAGTTCCGTCCACTTTCTGTGGTACTTGTCAGCAACAGAAAAAATGTATGTTGCATGAGTTCGCTAAGAAAGCTTTGTTGAAATGTTAATATATCAGTTCTGGTTCAATGAGTTTTGATATTACGCCTCAGAAATGGAGGTCCCGCGGACCTTATATGGGAATGTGGCATTGCAAGATTCTGATATCCAAGGAGCGTGGTTCTTAGGCAGTGATCTCCAGAGATTAAGATTCGCTCTTACGGACCCAACTGAGTAGGTTCCACCCAGTCTTTTCAGCCCAAAACTGAGAATAAAAAGGTTCCTGACATGATGTGTTCTTTTAGAATATCAGAGGATGGACTGAATCCAGAAACGCAGCAATTCCGACAGTAAAACACCATCACTGGAACCCTTAGAACTGACGAATAAGCTCCAAGTTTAATAGAAGTTACTATAGGATTCTGACGATGGTGTATAACACACAGAGATATTGGGGTTTCGGACTTTATCCATCGTCCTGGTTTTAAGATAACTAAGAAAAACACGACCTTTCGGAAACTGGATCTGTTTCCGTCCTCGGGTGACGGAAAACAACTATTCTGTTGGGTCCCTTAGAAAGAGCTAGCTGGGTCCAGTGATTGAGGCTAGTTCTTTCTAAGGGACCCAACAGAATAGTTGTTTTCCGTCACCCGAGGACGGAAACAGATCCAGTTTCCGAAACGTCGTGTTTTTCTTAGTTATCTTAAAACCAGGACGATGGATAAAGTCCGAAAACCCAATATCTCTATCCAAGTTTAATGTTCATTTTGAGCAACTCCCACCAGAAGTACTGGAGGTTCAAGACCATATGAGTACATAGCTCATTAAGGGGAGATTTTTTCCCCCGTCTTCCCTTCCCCCCCCCAAAAAAAAAATTCTTGTCTTTGCTCATATATTTCCATCAGAATCGCTGATGGTAGTTAACACAGCTTATACAATTTGTACATCAAATCTAAAATGTACTAATCAGTGGATCGACCTAATCAATTTTCGATATCTTCAGCATAATAATCCTTAAACTTTGTTAATAGAATCATATTAAACGAATTGACTGTTTATAAAAGTCATTGCAAGTTAGTCACAAGAGTATATAAGAGATGGCGCTGTAAACCGCGTGCCAGGAGCAGGTGGTGTTGAAACACATTTTATAGACCACGCTCGTTACTATCAGACATGACAACGCAAATCCTTTCATACAATATTGAACAAAGTATGTTTTAAATTAAAATTTAAGTTCCAATAGATTAAACCATAAAATTATTGACCTTGTGGACATTATCCATCGTCCTATTTTTATTTAATAACAACGATAGGACGATGGACATTATCCATCGTCCTATTTTTATTTAATAATGACGTTTCGGAGACTGGACTCTTGTGTCTATCTCCGTACCGGTCTGGAGACAGGGACCAGCTCTATCGATTGGACCCAACTGAGTAGGCTTTTTACCTCAGGACTCCGAAACATTGTTTTTAAATAAAAATACAGGACGATGAATGATGTCCAAAAAATCCATAAATTCTGAGAGATGAAACCATTTTAACGAACGTTAGAATTCGCAAGTATTCACCTTAAATGGAAGACTTAGCTTGAGCCTGTCCATGCTCATTTCATTTCATTTTTAAATGTAAGAGATCAAAGACTTTGATACAATTGGTTCATATAATGTGATAGACATTATATCGATAGACTTACTGGCGTGGTATGAATCTATTCCAGAAATGAGAACAAAGACTTGAGCACAGAACAATTGTTTCAAAAATACTCTTTCAAGCAGTGCATTAGTTTTACTGTTAATGTTTTATAGGTGTGGTTTTGAAACATTATTATTAAATATGTAATTTAAAATGATGCGTTTCAATGGTACATTTTTAAGCATTACATTGCGAAGTCCGAAAGCTTTGTTCACAGAGCCCTGTACCTTCTGTCCATTTGATAACCACAGTCCGCCTTCACAACACCCACCCTTTCATATTCTAGAATGACGTCATGTAAAGCAGAGAAGACAAGAGCTGATGAACATACTGCCTCCATCTTCAGGGTAGAAGGGTTATAATGGGGCAGAAGGATCCTTCGAAACTTTGGCAATTACGTACCAGATTAAACTGTGTCATAACCCAGAATATCAGAGTCGAAATCTTCATCGTTGTGAAAATGTAATATCAAAGGACTTTTGTTTTTATTATTGTCATTTTCGCTAGTCATGTTTTCTGCTTCAAGATCTGGTGTACTTTTGTGTCGAGAATGAACATTAGTTTTGAAAATTTTCGTGCAATGCTTAATACAATTTCTGAAATAAATCCCCCAAACTTTGCTGTAAAATGATGGCATACATGTACACCCGTTTATGATCATTCATCATCATCATCATCATCATCAGTAATCTGTCAAGACAGGTCCACAGTCTCTTCCAAAACAATTCCTCCACTTAATGCGATCTAGAGCTTTCTCCTTCAAATGACAGTATCCTCTTCTGTCCCCAAGGTCATCCAGCATCTTCTTACGTCTTCTTCCTCGTCTTCTTGTCACTTCTATCCGCCCATCTAT